ATATATATATATATATATATATATATTTATGTAAGCGGAATATTATATGTATATATGTAAATTTAATTTGATGGTTAGTTTTTATAACTATAAGATAAAATTTCTCGTTCGTATTTCGTTTCACGTACACACATACACATAGACACGTACAATATAACGTCTAATAAAATATATCTATTATAGTATTTCTATGAACTACTAGAATTCTATAACTTTATTTGTTGTTTTTTACATCACGTCTCTCTGAACATTTCGTTAAATCTACCAAAATTACAAGCTTTTCCCTGAAAAATTTTATATATCGAAGCAGGAGAACAGAAACTCACTAAAGTCGCGTGACATCGATCCAAATAATTTCGCGGCTGCGACCTCCCTGTTAAAAAAAAGGGAGAGAATTTCATTATTATAAATAAAGTATTGTCCGAATTTATATCTCTGCCAATCATCGCGGCTTAACGAAATAAAAAAAAATAGACAAAGGTATTAGACATACGGCTAATGGGCCAATTTAGGATTCGCGTTTCATTAACTCACCACACTAAATCCATGCAGTTATAAGATATCCGCGCGCTTAAACGTCCCGGACGCAGCATCCGAATCGCGGAATAATTGACGGGCCGTAAATATTATTAAAAATAATATTTCAAACAAATCCGGTTCTCCGTTGTGATTTTCACGGCGATACTTCTTTGACGATACCGTGCAAATCCGCGAAGGCGAAACCCCCGCCGTCGCCGCCGGTCCCCGCCGCAGATCCTGCCGCATGGCGCAAATTGACGGTTATTTCCTGCGGCCGGGGTGTCTAGACCCCGAGGTTTCTCTCTCTACGACGCGCACTACGGCTATAATAAGAGTAACGCGGAGTTAATAACGGGCTCGGTAAAAAGCCGATTGACAATCAAGTGACAATACATTTCGTCGGCGATCAGGCCGGCATGCCGTCGACGGAGCTCCATCGACCGGCCGCGGCGGGCCGCACTGAGAGATTCGCAGCAGTCGGCACAACTTCGGAGTTACGAGGTAGTAGGATAGCATGAACACGCGCCCCCTCCTGTGCGCCACCGCACCGGCCGGCGAGCGACTCCCACTTCCGCGGATCGCGGTGGAACATATTGCCTGCCCCCTCCCCCCCGCCGCGCTGCGAAATATAATTTATCGCGCGTCATGAGCGCAACAAGAACTCCGGTAAGACCGGCAAGTCCGACGGGCGCACGAAACGCTTCGCGAGAGAGGTAATTGTGATAATAAATTAGGGGCGAGATAATAATAAAGACTGTGTGCGAGGGGAAATTTAAGCGTTGCGATGAGGGCGATGTTGACAGAATCTTAATTTCCGGCTTAATTACTCGTAGCTCGTTGAGAACTTTGTCAAGACGACACGGTCTCTCCCTCGACATTCTCGCTCGAGAGGAATGACTCCCGATTTCGTGAGAGCGACGCGACGCGATGTATGCACTTCCTGCTGATTCTAGACCGTAATTTGAATTTCGCTGTCTCAATTTTATCAGGGTTCGACACAAGTCGATGAATAATGCACTTTTGCATTCGCGGGGCTGGCTCGCGATACACAGTTTGCGATCCCGTAAAGGGCGTAACGTAGGAGTGTCCAGATAGATCGGCGTGGTATCAAAGAAATGCGGCCGCACCGCAATGGATCTCGTTACTTGAAGGAGGAAGCGACCGCCGCGAAACCGCGTACCGGTCTGGGTGGAGTTTCCCGCGGCGTTGTACCGCCTTTGACAAATACTTGGAAACAGGGTAGCAGGAGCAGAACCACGGGGGAGGGGGAGAGAGGGTGAATCGCCGCTAGGAAGCGGGGGATCACGCAGTGACGGATTGCGACGATGTAATTAGCATATCAACGATAATCTAAATCTTATTTAATGTTTGCTTAAAAGTTTCCATCTTTTACCAGACAAACGGCTTAAAAATTTCATCCTTCAAATTATATTTAATTTAACTTTATATTTTAAGTCTTCTAATTAGATAATATTAAAATGAAAATATATACATTTAGGTTAAATAGCTCTTAATCTTATTTTTATATGTTATTCGTGTGTATTAATACGTCTTTATCACTGTCCATTTAGTCGAGAATTTAAAAATCATATTCACTGCTTTAGAAATTCTAAAGAAAAATTAATATCTATAAACGATCTGAAGCGAGGATTTAATTTCTAAACATGTTGCATAAAAAATGATGACAAAGAGCGATAATTTCTTCATAGAGACTCTCACTTTTTACACCTCGAAATACATAAAATACGAGTTTCAAAAATTCAATGAGATTATTTCTATATATCGAAGATTAATTATTTATTATTAATTAATAATTTGTCGAAATTAATTTTTGAGACTTAATCAAACTTATTTTTAATACTTTCTTTAAATGTCTAAATTATATTGTTCATGAGGGATACGAGACACGTCGTGCCGCCACTGCGAAGGCAGTGGAAAGAGAAGGAGTGTGCACGGCCCACTTCCTTTCCACCGAGGAGTGCTCATCGAGCGCGGCCGCCACGTGCCCGGTCTGATCCCGCTCGAGCATGTTCCCCTGCGAACGCAAGACTCGAGTGTGACCCGGCCTGGGGACATGGGCACGTCCTCGGCGAAGGTCAACGGACTCCTCCGTTGCTCCACTACGCCGTCCGCGGGGCATGCGTGGGTGTGCGCACGTGCGTACGTATAACGTATGTACGTACGAGCGTGGCGTGCGTCCGACAGCTGGCGGCGTCCGCCGGCCGTCCGCCGACGTCCTCGTCGCGTTCGCCGGCGCGGGGCGTCGCGTCGCGTCCCGCTCCCATGAGCAGCGCGCAGCCCGATATCGACATGACCCACGTCATTGCGGGCGAACGCGAGCGCGCAGTCGAGGGGATGCCCCGACCAACGTGCGAGTCATGCTTCCCTACTATGTTGCGCGGCAGCTCGACATCTTGCGGTCCGCGCGGATTCCTTGCCGCGCCGACGACGAGGCGATCGCGACACCGCGCGCACGCTCGTCCCGAGTATACGAAACGCGCCGCGGCTAATGCCGGCGAGATGCGTCTCGGAGGCTGTCCGTTCTCCAGAGTGATTTGTCGTATCCTTCCTTTCGGATACCGCACTTCCTCGGATAAAATAAAATCAGTCGCGTCGACTCGCAGGGGAGAGAAGAGGGAGGAGGACAAAAGCCTGCAGGAGATTTAAAGCATAGGAGAGATGAATCTTATATCGTGTGATCAATCAATCAGTATGATTGATTGACAATTGGCGATCAATGACTTTGAAATCCAGTTAATCTCGATAATGTATTAAAATTACAGGAAATAATTTTGCAAAAATTTAAAATTAATAGCTGATCTAATAAGCAAAATAGCAAGAGCTGAGTTTGAAAGATAGTTCTTATGTTATAGTTTATGTCATTTTTAATATGTAATTTTTTTACACTTTATTATTATAGTTCATTACATCTATTTTCTAAGATCATATAAATAATGAAACATAATGTGCTTTTCCACTATTAAATATTCTCTTTAATTATAATTTCTGCACTACAAATATGAAATAAAAATTATGAAAAAGAGAAAGAAAGAAAGAGAAAGAGAGAGAGTCTTTCTCTTATTTTTTCTTCTGATTTTATTAAAAAAAAGGCTTTTAAAATTATAATTCAAGGAATTTTCAAACTAATTTGTATCAAGTATTTGCAAAATTACTCTTACTTTTGAATTTTTTGATTAAATATTTACTTCACGCATATTTCATAAAATGACGTAATTTTTAAAAAATGTTATAATTATAAAATAGCAAATGATAAAAAACCGTTCTTATCTAGAAAAATTTTCATAAAAGTTTATACAAAAATGAAAGTTATTTATATTTTATTTTGTAAATGACATAAAATCTTATACACTTTTTTCTATGCGAGAAGAAACTGAACATCGATCGCGCCATTTGTCGCATCTCCTGGTCCATTTCGAACGAGCCTCTGAAGTCGAACTGATCAATCTTGTTAAAATAAAAAGTAGAGAAAATCGGAAAAATTATGAACCAATCCGTATGTCGTAATATTTCCGGCGAGTTAATTAGTCCGGCCTCTAAGTGACTCTCGAATAAGGCTACAGTTTCGCGCCGGTGGACAAAATCGACATCTCGCGGCGCGGACGGACACGTGACCGCGTCAGTGCGCAGGGACGGCCGGGGATGGTCGTCGATGTTGCGGGCGCAGTGTTTTCGCGACGTTAATTTTCACGTGACAGGCCGCGTAAAGTGCGCGGGAACCCGGCGGTATGACGGTGTGAAGGGACCCGCGGTCGCAACACCACGCACGCCTCGACGCACGGTAAACGGCACGCTCCCGAGCACGCTCCGTTGTCACGCGCCCCGCCGAAATGCCGGAGGAGGAGAACTTTTGCAAGAAGATGGCAAAAGCCACCAGGGGAATACACGCGATCAGCGATGCCCTGGTGAACGCGAAACTGGCATTCGGTAAGGATCGCGAGACACCTGCGTGGATACCTCTCGAGATATCGTAAACATCGGCCGTTTCATTTGGAGCTCTACAAACTCACATACTCGATTGCAATTACTGTAGCAAAGACAAAAGATTATTTCTCTGCATGACAACAAAAGATAAATATTGCTTTGTCATTCCACGCGTTTTATATATATATATATATATATTAAAAGAAATATTATTTATATAATTTAGATCTCTCGCTAAATATATTATTTGTGACATGTTTTAAGCGGGACTTCTAAATAGAAATAAGATTTAGATCGTAAGCAAACATAATGTACCTTTTACTTCTTTTTCCAATGGTTGCGCTTTGTAATTAAAATCATTATATTTAATTGACTGAATTGCAGGATCAATTAGAAATGAGTACGGTTGAGCAGGGCTGTCGGTTAATTGTTTAATGATAGGTGATTGATCTTCCTCTTGGTCTCCGAATAAATTCCGTTTAAATGCTGCTTTCGGTGCGTCTTTCTTATTGTCATTTACACCACGGCGATTACGGGCCGGAGAAGTGTTTGATTGACGGCCAATCTTAAAATCAGGAACTTCGCTCTGTAAACGGAGCACGTGACAATGTATATGAAAGTTTAGATTATAACATAAACAAAAAAAAAGTAATAATGTAAGAAACGCGATGATGCCTACTTGTGGCGGGCAAGTAGAAAAATGGTGGAAAAGCGACTGCTGTTGCCGTTTGTTGCTGCTCTTCGAAACCGTCTCGACATCTCCCAACGATTTATGCCGTTGTCTTCGTACAGTCGCAATGGCGTTTTTCTCACGTTGCTGTTTCTCTTGAATCCACCGCTTTATTCGCCTGGACAAAAGAGCGACAAACACACACATGTAACACAATTTTTCATTAAATATATGGATTTTGTAGAAAAAAAAATATGGAATAATTACTTGACGAACGGTACCACCATGAAAAATGCGTTTGGCCCAACGCCGATCTTCATTTTAGGGGTCATATCCTTTTTCGTGTTGGGCAAGTCCGCCACGGCGAACCACTCGACGTTCTTGATTTCTTTCCGTGTTTTTGGTTGAAACTTCGTATCCTTTTGCACACCCGAAATAATGTACAATCTCACTGTCTGATCGTTTATCACTGATTCTATGTATTCGGTTTTATCTATCAAATTGGATATATCAAAACCGGTCTCCTCCAACACCTCGCGAATGGCGCAGAGAAACGGCTCCTCATCCTCGTTCACCTTGCCCTTGGGAAAGCCCCAGCTGTTCTTCGCCCAGTAGCTCTGCACCAGCAGCACCCTGGTCATGTCCTCGTTCAGCACAATCGCCCCAAACGTCGGCACATTCTGCTTGTACTCTCGCCATTGCTCTAGCACGGTATCAATGTGCTGCACGTGCGGCTTCAAGAATGGTATATGCTGAAATATGTGAGTGGCGAACTCCTTCATGCCGCACGACCTCAGCTTAGGATACTCCTCCGTGCAGTAGAAGTCGAGGTAAAACCAATGAGCCAATTCGATTTGAAAGCAAATTCGCACCAGATCCTTCCTCTCCTCCTCGGGCACATTGATGATGAATCGACTGCAAAATACAAACACGAGATACGAATAAAATATAAGATACAAGGAATCTGTCGTATAAAAATAATGAAATCGAAACATTCTAAGAAAATGCATAATGCCTATCGAATCAGCTGTTTTTTTTTTCCTTTTGCTCCACCGGAGCTGATGAATTATAGCGCCTTCAACCTTCCTGCAAGGTTATGTAGCGCACAAAGCTGTTGTTGTTTTCTATCAGGTTATTATTGTCATACTTAGCATTCGATGGAAACCAACCTGCTGAGATCGTCGAGGATACCAGATGGAATTTTATGCTCCATTTTATGCTCCATACCGACGGTCTTTACCCGTCGACCGGGTCCCCCCTCGATGTTATTGACAATCGTATGTGGACGACAGCAGAGAGTACGCTATATGAAAAGACCCCACAGATGCAGCATGAAAAGTAAAAATTAGTGAAATTAGAGACGAATTAAATTTGTGCAAGCGATCGTGGCGAACGATAATAACGCGAAGCAAGTAGTAATAATTAAATCACTCACGTTGACTTGTATCCGAAGGTGGCACGTTCGCGTGCGTGTGTATCCCGTCTGGATTATTTCAAAGCGGACGACACAATGTATGCATCTGATTCAAAATCAATCTGCAAAATCGATAAAAACCGCTTATACATTATTTGTAGCTTAAATAACTTAGGAAATTACGTTTTCCCGGAACCTAACCTATCGGCACCAGCACCGTGCACACAGAAGCCATGTTGCTTTAGTCTTACACTAACGCAAACATATGACGAGACTTAGCCTCTCCGCGCGTTTCTTCTCTTTGTTTTTTTTTCCCCCGAGGTGTCTTGGAACGTTCTTACATCGCGCACCGTGCGGATAAAAATTAATAGACGTAAAATAATTTTAATAATAACGCTGAATCTTGGCGAATGAAGTTTTCCATGCACATTTTACAAGAATATTATTGCATAAGAATTGTCGTCAAATTGTGACACATGGCATGACGCCGTTTTCAAGGAAAAACAAGGAGAAATTGCGAAACATCGTTTATTGTGCATTTGACAGGATAGAAAGATTTTCTGCTAGCTGACGAGATCTAACAATCGTTGCAATATAGCCTCCACGTCACTGTCGTCGTTATTCTCCAGCACGACGTCCCAGTTACTCATGTCGTCCAAATCGCACTCCGTTTCTGAATCGTCTATGCCTGAATTAAATTACAAGGGTCTAGAGACTCTCCGAAGAAAGATTTCGATGGCTCGTTAAAATTACGACGCATAATGCCTGTGTATGTTTACCTGGTGTATGGACCCAGCCACGTTTCTGCCTGACTTCCTCGGGGCAAGCTATGCGTACAGTTTTACACACATCTCCGAAATTTTCCGCGAACCATTTGACGTCAGTCTTTCTCCTGACATCGCTTATTATCCACACTGCTTTGTCCCACGCTAAAAGATATGTGTTATGTAAACACACTTGTACAGAAATTAATATCGTACTTCTGTGAGTTATAGTTTTTAATAAAAGGCTCTTCGGCTTTGCTTGTACCATTATACATGTCGATAGCAGCATGACAAAAGTAGCCGTAGTCCTTCCTTCTCACATCCTCGCCCCACTTGGCCATTTCGAGCCGATATTTCTCCTTGTATTCACCATGTCCTAGCAATTGATCGAGATCGAGACCCCGAGATTTCGCCCAGTGCGTTTTTATAGGTCCCGATAAGCGTATAATTGTACTCCTCTCTGAACCAATTCTGAAAATCACGTAAGCAAATAATATTTTGAGAAAAAATTAATAATATCACGATTAATATCATTAATTAATATTACAACATATAATTATTTAAGAAAAATATTAGCTACATCAAATATACAACAATCGAGTCTTCAGTTATTAAGCATAGGAATGTATCCTTAATTTCTTATGATAATTTTATGTCAGTTTTCTGCTGAGTAATAGCTATTCCATTTTACCTTATCTACAATCATAACAAAATTATAAAATGTCAGTACAGTACCTGTTGTGCAAGATATCGGTAATGTAATCCTTTCCGGATTTCCTCTTGCCGCTAAACAACAAAATCCTTTCCGGTTTCGGCGAATTATTCGCGATTTTCGTGACGTCGCGCGCCTCCAGCGTCTGCTCTGTGGCCATATTGACATATAACTGTACAAGCCGTATAACTCGTGTAAGCGCCGTAAATTATAAAAAAAGATGCGCCGAATGCGCGAAACGATAGGATGTCGAATCCACTCGAAGTTACTTTCATCCACACTCATTCCATCTTTAAAAAAATGAACATTTATCTATTAAAACTGCATACAAAATTATTAAACTAAAGATGGGATAAAATTGAATTTTTGACCACAAATGTGTTTTTTTCAATTTATTTTGATAAAGTCATTAGTTTATACTGAATTTATTTATTTTGTTTCTTTATTTTTAACTTCACGAAGAGCCTTCCGTTGCTCTGCCCTCTTCAACTGGGCCTTCGGTTTCAGGTTATGTTTCTTCGCAAAGCGTTGGTTCCTCAAGAATTTCAAATCCATCTGTAAAGTGCATGTAAAAGTTACATATGGGGTTCCGTAAAGCATGAACGAATACGGCAAAGATCTTTAAATTACTTTAAATATCAAAAACACATATGTTGAATGTTATTTACTAACTAAACGTTTCATCGCACACAATATTACATATCTTTCTCTCTTGCTTCGTTAAAGACTATAGAAAATAAAATAAAATGCTGGAATAAAACGATCGATAAGCACAAGAATATGACAATACTTACGCCGAGTGTACTCTCGTGCCTGTATCTCTTAGGCTTTTTGATACCATTTCGATGTGCCTTCCTGTCTAAAAGAAAAACACAAAAATCAGCAATTTAGTAACGATAATTTAATATCGATATATATTCGATTCATAAGAGATTTCAGATTAAACATTTTATTCTATTTATAATCCATCTCAAATCTTAATCTCAATTAATTCTTAAAATTATATAAAATATCTACATTTACAAATCTAACCTAGCTTTTCTGATAATTTATTTATAAAATATACTTACTCTGATTATGATTTGTGTGATTCTTGGACTTGGCCATCTTCTGGGCAGTCTGGAATTATTTATTCCTACCTGTAATAATATTTGATTATTTCAAAACACTGTTAAACATATTACTTGTTGAGGTTAGGAATCGTGAAGGAAATTATTATCTCTCAAGACTTTCGTGCATAATACTCGTAAAAAAGGTATAACGATTTTATATTAATTGATAAAAACAAGTTATAATTCTTTATATACGTCTCGACTTTAGTAGATTGAATGGATTTTTAGAGAGAAAATTATAAAATTTCAAAGAACCATACACAAGCTTCGGGAAACGGAAGCGGGAAGAAACGTAATCGAACGTAATGAAAATGAACCATGTGGCGACGCTAGCGCCAAATGCCCCTCATCCTCATATAAATCTTTTGCGATTTGAATAAGAATTGATTGGAATATTGTTTACAAATAAATGTTAAATATATAGATACAATAATAAAAACAAAAACATTTTAGTAAGGATATTACTTTAAATACTCTATATTTTAGAAAAAAAAATATATATATATATATATGTATTTTAAACTCATATTGTTTGTACTTATATTGTTTTTCTCAACGCTTAATATTTGGAATAAAATCTAAAATCATCTTCAAAACAATTCGATTCTCACTTTAATTAATTTTTATTTTCAATTTTTATTTTTATTTTTCACACATTTAATACGTGATGTTTTCATTGAAAATTTTGCTTGCATGCATACACATTTACATAAATATTTATAGTAAAGAAAAATATATATGAAACACACTCAATGATCCGTATTCAGAACACGCTTTTATCTCTGAAATTCTGTAATATACATAAATTATAGTTAACGTTAGGTCATTGTTAGCGTGTTTTGAATACAAGCTAATACGTAGTACATTTATAAATCAATGATATTTTGATATGAAGATACAATTTGCTCTTATCGGCTTAAAAAATTTACAATTTTACATTTTGTCTATGTATATAATAAATATGTATATAGAATTATATATTAATCTTAAACGTGTTCACAAATTGAAACGTATATCACAGCCAAACGCTATACTAATAATGATCCCACATTAATCTAAAGTAAACCTCTCATCTGTAGACGCGTCATTATCTTGTCACAATAACTAATTGTTTTAAACAAAAGGTTTCACAAAAAAATATGTAATGTAAATGAGAAAAAGTATGAGATATTTTTTAAACATATCATACTATTTTCTATTGTACTATTGTACTAAAATAAAGCATTACTGAGAAAGTCTTGTATGAAAAACTTTATAGATTGGTGGCCACAGTATTGTGAGAGGTAAAAAAGTTGTACTATCCGTGTGATTTGCAAAACGCAGACCGCGCTGTGGAATGCACGTCGATATTTGAAGTGTCGCTTATAAACCGTACAATTGCCTTTGCAGGGCAATCCAATCCACAGTTTTTTGCTGGATCGGTCGTTTCTCCGATAAAGCCGTAGCGGCCTTTTGAAATTTCTCTTCGTTCCGACGCACGTACATCCTCGCGTCCTGCTCCATTTGGTTGATCTTCTCGGGTCGGATTTCCACCATCGATAACATTTCCGTTAAATACGGGTTAAATCTGAAGTAAATGTGATCAGGTAGCAGGTCGTTGAGCATCGTATGCACGGCTGAAAAATGAAAGACCAACGTTACGAAAATCAATTTTACCAAATACATCTTTCCTTAATTTGTTCCCAAACAGCGTGCAGTTAATCATATCGACTTTATTATACTACGTTAGTATTTATACCTTCTGTATCGGTAGCGCTATCCAAAATTTTATAAAACTTCTCTTTCCAGCTCGAGATCGCGACCTCCAAAGATTCGCTTTCGCTAATGTGATGTGGGATTCGACCTGTTCCGAACGATACGACGCATTGGATTGGATTGTTCGGCCACAGCTGTTTGGCTTCGTGTATCGCCACGGCGCACGGGTTATTCACCAGAATACCTAAAACATTACAATTGTTCTCGATGGCGTTGCGAAAATTTTTATTCGATTTTCACGCGATTCAGTCGGAATGCCGTGTAACTTACCGCCGTCCTGATGAAGATAGTCGCCGTATTTAAATTCCTCGAAGTAACTCGGCGCAGCAGCTGACGCTCTCACGGCTTCCCACAATTTATGTTTGTGGGACCCCATATACTGGCTCTCCACTCGGTGCGGTAATGTGTAATTTCTAAACACGTAGGCCATAACGCGCTCGTGATTTACCACGGCGGATATTGCTGCGAACTAAAATTACAGACAACGCTTTAGGACCTTTCTACATTTAAATTATCCACCTAGGGCGCTTCATGCATTATACATTTTATATCGAGAGTTCCGCACGACAATATATATATTAAAATCTACGCACCTTCGGTGCATTTGGATCGCGCGTGGTTTTGATGAGAATTTTATCGCCCAGGTGCTCCGCTAATAATTTTTCCCACAACGCGGTATCGTAATACGCGTGACTCCATACTAGACTGCTCGTGCCTTTTATAGCGCTCTGCGTGAACACTCTGATACTCAGTTCCTTGTACAGTGCCATAACTTCGTCTAACGATTTTCTCTTGTGTCCTCCTGCAATAACGAGTAAACGATACAGCTCGCGATAAACGAAAATTTCACATTCCTTTTAACGGCGGAACAAACTGCATGCAGAACATGCCGTAAATCCACTTAAAAGTTTACCTTCCGAGACATCCTTTGGCAATACTGCATGTAGGATGACATATAAATTAATTTGGACACACACATGTTACAAATGTACATAGTTAATATAATTAATATAATAATTCTATCTAATGTTATTTTAAAATAATCATTAATAAACTAATCAATGAATATTTCTAAAATTCGACATTAAGCAATTACCTAACACAGCAGCGAGAATAGCTCCTGTGCTCACGCCGCATATGTAATCGAACATCTCGTACGTCTTCTTCCCCGTGAGTTCCTCCAATTTCTTCAGCATCTCTATAACCAATACCCCGCGAATGCCGCCGCCGTCGATCGAGAGAATTCTGATACCCCGGCCGGGCAGAGGATCGATGTAACCCATCACAGCCAGCGCTTCTCTAATAGACGCTGCAAGAATCACATTTTGAAATCATAAGTAACATCGTCAACAGAAGGCGACCCTATCATCTCATTCAAAATTTATTCAAACTTTCCTCTTGTATACCTTTAATCTGTTCATCTTTCGTCTGCTGACGAGTCCGCAGTAGAATTCTAATCGCTCCCTCTTTGATGGCGTAGTGCCTTGCCTCTGGATACTGATCGACGTGCAACAATAAATCGTCCAGTCTGCGCAACTTCGAAGCGTTCGACTCGGCCGATTCGATGCTGTTCAGGACGTGGCGCGTGCGAGAGATGATGCTGTGCTTCGGTATATTGCTCTGGATATTCACTTTCCACTTTGGCATGATGGCGGCGCTCTGCGTAGTTTTTGGTGAGAACTTGAGGAGCCACGTGGAGAGAATCTGCGGCATAGTCATGCCGTCCTTCGGCTCTGCTTTACTGTCGGGCGTGGCCTGCTCGCGGACTTGCTGCGCAAGGAAAATTAACTTTTCGCATAAAGAAGCAACAGCACGCTATTATCGTCTTATTTAGTTTCTAAATAATTACCTGTGTTTTTGGTTGCACGGTTGTCGCGTCAGAATCGGCGAGCGATTCCGCTTGTTCGGACACTAACGTTAGCTTTACATTCTCCGAGTCGCCGCCGTCTTCATCGTGCTTCGTAGTCGAGCTCTTGCTCGTGTCGGTGGCTTTGACAGAGTCCGACGACGACAATTTCCGTATCGTCTCGAACTGCGAGTAGGTCAACTTCTGCAAGTTATCCAGCCAGTCCTTGGAGACGATGATCTGTTGATTCTTGTCGCCATTAACCTTGTTCAGGTAATCTTTCAATTGCGACAGAAACTTCCATTGATTCTGCATGGCTAACTTAGCTTTCTTCAGATAATGTAGATCGTTTATAGGACGCAGAAATTTGTCCGCGATACTCGTTACGTTTCCACCGGCGTCCTTACCAGCTGCGCTATCCGTGAGTTGTCTGCAATTAAAAAACATTCTTTTCTTTTCTGCATTTGTTATAAATATAATATTACATTCGTACTAATTTTTGCTTTCCACATTTATTCCACAATATGAATACATAAATTGCATTTATATAGCAAACTTGAAGAAATAATTTCAAAGTGATTTCGATCAAAGTTTAATTACTTTAATCGGATAAATCGCTTAATTAAAGCAAAGTATGATTCATTCTAACAAGTATGATTCATTGTTGATCTGGTATTTTTTTTTGTCGTTTGATAAATAGAATTCCATAAGTTAAACAAAACATTAATTCTACATTAACGAATAATACAGGTATCGCTTGATAAACAAATCGCCGATTACGTTTGCAGTTTGATCGATCTTTAGGAGCAAAGAAACATTGAAAATCGAAGCTAACCTCTTTATTATTCGAGAACGTTCAGATGGTACGCACGTTCCTCATCGCCTTCCATTTTGCGATCGCAATTATTACACATGCATTGCCTTTTACAAGATCGAGTATCAGCCGATTCGAATTTTGAATGCAACAATAAAGGAGAACAGAATTCCGTCACCGCTCGATACGTTGCCGCTGACGTATTTTGTATAGTACACCTGTCAAAGTCAGCTGGTCACGCGAGACATCGAACCATCGAACGATGTTTTTCTGTCCTTCTCTCGTGTCTAACCTGACCCGTGATTCACTCGCTCGTTATATCTGAGCACGCTATTGTACAGATTTCTTTTTTTTTTTATTCAGAAGATTATTTGCTCATTCAATTATTGTGCTGATACCCCGATAATGTCATCGGGGATCGTCACTGACGATACACAGATAATACATAAAATAACTCATAGTGAATATTTAAGTCGCTTCCGCATAACAGTTTCGTTAGGCGAATTACGCAATTGCAGTAGAAGGTGACGCGATCGATAATTTAGGCTAATTTCGATCAAGCTTCGATAAACTTAATCGGCGATCGCCATTTTTATGTAACGTAGATTAACTTTGATTTCGATTTAATTTGATTTTTTTTTCTAAAAATGTGAAAATAAATTACGAGTAAATCATACCGAATATTTTTATATCTATTTTTTTATGCACTCATTGATCTACGTTCTATTGTTTATTATAAATTAAATTAGCGTGTGATGGTGTGATGTGTGTGTGTGTGTGTGTGTGTGTGTGTGTTTGTGCGAATATTATAAATCACAATGCATGATCTCACTCACCTAGTTAACAGAATGCACTTTCGGCAATGCGTCGTGTGTCTATTAAAAGCCATCGTGAAGATCGCAAATATATCACGTAATATATCAATCCACTCTCTATCTCCTCTACCTTAGAGATGTTTCAATCAAACATCACAAGAGAGATTCAAATCAATTCGTCTGCAATCCTTTCTTTTCCGTGAATGTTTTGGTGGAGGCTGGAAATTGAAATTCGATTACCGAATCGAATTACTTAATTAATTCGTCGATGATCACAGAGACCGACAGAATCAATCGAATCCAATAAATTTTTACAATGATATAAAAGAAGAAAGAAATTTGTAATTGTATTGACAGTATAGTAGCGTCTCGAACTAACTTTCGTTTGATACTAAACGTGACTCTGCACCGTCTCGATTCTTATACGAGTATAACACGTGACGTATGTCTCGGCGAGTTGGCTACTTGGCTAGCTCGCTTCGTAAATAAGATCGTACGACACCGGTGGGCCAACCAGACGTGGTCGCGCGAGGTATTTGGTACCTGATCATTCATCGTGGTATGTACAACCGCGACTTCGGAGAAAAAGGAGAGCGGAGGGTGAGGGAATCGAGAGGTGTTTGGTACCGAATTGAGAGATGACACTCGTCGACGACGACTTCGTGACGCAACCTCGTTTGTTTACATCCGGCCTTCTGTTTACATCCTTCTGTTGCCATCTAATTCCGCGCTTCTCTCACGCAAGATGACCAAACTCACGTATAAACATCGAGACACGTGCGTCCGCTGTCACGTGTGCGTCGTGATTTTGACTCTGCTCCACTCCTTTATTCTACAAGGGCCGAAGGACAGACTTTTACATAACGCTGCATAATACATAAGAGAATCAAATCAGAGTAAAAATGAAATAAAGGATTCTGATTATACTTTCTGTTTTATACATTATGTAGCGTTATGCAAAGTTTGTGCTTCGTAGTTCTAACTCTTTGAATTGTTTTGAGAGTCTCAATATGAACCGTATTAGTTTAACGATTAAACTTTATATCGCAATTATTATGCTGTTGTATCTGCTATGTTCATATATTATTTGCGCATCGACGTTTGCGTACATTGGCTCTCTTACTCTTGTTTTCTTGTGATGACTCATTTCAGATCGTATCAATAGCACAATAGTATATCAATACGCGATACTAGTGTCAAAACATGTAAGCGTCGTATTTTTCTCATTCTCTTAAACGTCATAAGAAACGTTACCGTAATTATGCAGCGAAATATAAAGAAACAGAATTTCGCTCATAAAGTGACACAATTAAATTCGTACTCCTGTTTTTATAAAAAAATAATTTCGCAATGAATGAAAGATTGTTCTGATTTGCTAAATTTAATTGTTTTGCAGTTCTATTTCAAATATTTAATATTCGTATCAATAATTTTATCTCATATTATGTAGATTTTTATAAATAAACGTGATTTTTTTTAAATACTGCGATACACCGGGATATAGGCATTGAAATAATTACTTCACTTTTCTTTTATTTAGTGAAGATAATGCTTTACAAATAAGTATTAAAATTCTTTTCATCTGTAGAACAATACGCGCTTAAAAGAGAACAAAAATACTGCGTTGTTAAACAGCTGCCAAAATTCTTAACAGAAAGGGTTACTGAAATAACGATTGCATTGAACGTCTCTAAAAAACAACAAATAAAGTGTATATAGCTCATAAAATTGAACGCGTTGTTTATCACGCGTTTATCCGGTCTCACATAAATCGCCCTCGCAAATACTTGTGTGTGTGTGTACGTCATTTTTCAAGCGAACAAACACATCTTGGAAGATCATGAATTTTTGGCTCGCACGTGGATCGGATGATGTACAACGTCATACCGTAAATCGAGAAGGCTCGCTACAAAAGACGGCCTGTTCGATTGGCTCGCGTCCAGACGACCTTGCTGACCGATTGGCCGAGTCGCGGAGGCTCGCCCGTATCGCGCTATTTTTCTTCCACAGAAATTGGCTCGTTACCTGCGCTGCGCTACCGTTATCTGTAATGCCGCGTCACATTCACGGATTACGCATCTCCGTCTCGACCGAACCGGATTTCCGCGTGCGCAGTTACGTGTCGTATCTCTCGAATTGTCGATATTGGCATATCCTCGATGTTATCATCCCGAGAGACTTTATTTCAAGAATCATTATAACAAACAATGATTTGATATTATAACAAATTAAATGCTTATTATAAGATAACGTCGACGTTAATAATAATAATGATGATATATAAGTTTATTGCGTACGGAGGTATAAGATTGATAAGTCAAATAATTACAAGAACATGAAAGAAAAAGATGTAGCAAAAGATTTTCGCAAAAGATGAGGCGTCAGCTGTTGCTGTATATCTCTACCTGTCATAAAAACATGATGAATCAGAACATTAGGCAGCATATAAAAAACAGAGCATGGTAAACAAAATGTAAAAATGATAGATAATAAATTTATATTAAATTATACATATTTTTTATGTTAAATTTTATTTTAACATACCATATGTGTAATTTTAAATATAAAATTATTATATAATTTTATAAAATAACAAGTCTATAAAACAAGTCTATAATTATAAAATATGATATTTTATAATTATTGAAACAATTATATGTGATAAAAGGTGTACGATTACAGTATTATAAAATCATAACATGATAATTTCGTATCTGGAATATTTCTGTTACATCCAATACTTTATAATTAATAGGTCTATTAATTTTCTTCAGATGACAAAACAGTTCCGAAAGATCGTAGACATCCCTAAATCAATCCGGCCATAACTTTACGTTACTGTCGCTGTATCGGACACGCCATAGAATCTCGCGTGTGCTCGCTATACACCCAGCAGAATCACCACTACATCCTGAAAATCCCTCGGGATTTAACGCAGCGCACCATAATGCACTTCATTCTGCTGAAAGGCTCATCCGTAGCTATCTCGAATCGATGCACTTTCGACGCGGATTCGCATCTTGGATTTTCCAGGCACGCGTGCCAGGCACGTATACAGGGTGCTTCAGATCTGCCGTGCCGCCCTCGATGTACCTTGGATCGTACGTGGTTGCGCTAAGGAAAAATCGCCTCCGAGTCGAGGGATCTACGAAGGAGCTGGTGATTTTGTGAATGGTCCGCGGCACCCTGTACACGATGCGTGCAATCGGTACAATTGCCGGCAGAAATTGGAAGCGGAGGCTCGAATTCGCTATATATTTATTTTCACGAGAATTATTGGCACGAGATCCTGTTTCACACGTTCACCGCGCGAGCGAAACCAGAGAAAAGACATTTTTCTTTTGTGCGAGAGAAAATCGGTTTCGAAGTCTTGATTGTTGTACGGGCGACCCCACCCCCTATCCTCTCCCTTCCGCGAACGCGAAAAGCGTCGGGGCTAAAAATCGAGGATCGCGAGAATTTACTAATTTTTTTTCATCCCGCGATTCAATCTGCGCGTACGAAGCAATCAACGCACGTCGCGATATTTTCCTTCCTTTTTCCCTCTTTTTTTTCTACTCGCAGGTGCCTCTTCGAGGGGCGCGTTGGATTGCGCATTGCCAACGGCTCCGTGGGACTGTATCAACCCCTATATAAGGCTGAATCCTTCCCCGCGAAAGTTTAGACGTGGCTCAGCGAGCGGTCCGACGTGTGATCGTTCTCTTTTCCGTTTTCTTTTTTTGTTTTCACACGCACCACCGCCCGCGCGCGCGTGTGCGTGCGTGCGTGTGTAAATTGGTGTAGATTCATCCCTCTCCCCTCACAAGAGAGAGCCCTTCGCCCCGTAGTTATGTTCGCGGAGACGAGGTTGTTCGTGCTGTCGATCGTTGTTTCGCAAGTGTCGTGGCTCGTGAGTGTACTGGGCGGTAAGATGTTTACTCATTCACAAAAGATGTTTCCCATTGGGATGTCGTGTACTTTCTTGCTGCGCAAAGTGCCCCAGAATCTGCAATTTTTCAAGAGCGAGATTGAATTCATTTTTATCAAATTAATTTCACTTAACTTTAATAAGAAATTCGATGCGCGCGGACGCATATCGCTTCCTTTTATAATATTATTTAATAATTGCCTTTTAATAAACACGCGTCCGCTGTTTCTCTTTTGCTATTGTAATATTTTATAATATATTATGACTGGTGCGTGAAAGAAAAAAATAAATAATTTTCTTTCGAAGAAAATTATTTTTAGCGCAATCAAAATGCGTTCTTATAAGTATTAACGAATTATAATAACTTGTTATATTGAAATGAGGTGCACTTCAAAAAATTACATTTCATTGGCAAGATTTTACTTTTTAAAGAACATCCACGTGTCCATTGATTTTCTTTTCAGTTAAAATTTACCGACTAAAAGTGCCGATTTCGATATGCGTTTCAATATGCGACTTACGTATACCTTATTCTGCCATCTAATAAATACAATTGTTAAGCACGTTTTGCACGATTTTATCGATCCGTTCTTTTGAAATTTCTATCCCGATGGCGGAAATAAGCTCATTGCGTATGCATGGCTTGTAGTTCAGTATTCTACGTCCCCCCTCGCTTTTCTGATGCCCTGTGTAATCGCACGTATGAATAAAACGAATGTATTTTCTGTGTGATTTCTCCAACGAATAATGACACGTCAATGGCATTTCTGCGTAGTCGCGCGCGAATTAACGCGCCTTGGCTTTACTTCCATTCGCAAAAAAATTCGAGTCTTTAGTTATTTCAGTAACTTTTTAACTTTAATAAACAAAGCTTCTATTATTTTATTTACTAAATATTTTAAATACCTGTAAAATACATTCGATATATTTTATATTGTGTAACAT